TCCTATGCTATAAACCCCCCCCTCCCTTTCCCTCTTCGCCTCACACACCCTTCCTTTTGCTCTCCCTCCTCCCTCTTCGCCTCACACACCCGTCCTTTTGCTCTCCCTCCTCCCTCTTCTTCTCTCCACCCTTCCTCTCCCTCTTTCCCACTCTTCCTCTCTGGTTTCTCTGCCTCGAGTGCATGTGTGCTCATGTGCTATCCGTGTATGTTCAACTGAATCTGAATGCCTACCGAACAAATGGAAAGGTCGGCCATAACTACCTGCATTTTATTAGATGCAAGCTCCTCAACAAAGGTGTTGTCACAAGAGACCCGAATTGCCCAGCACGTGATTATCATAGCTTACACCCCAAATCGCACCTGAATTCTTGAAGAGAAAGATCCAGTAGCGTGTAGACTACAGTAGTGAGTGAGCAATGGGATGGCCAAAATGAATCTCAGGGCAATAGAAAGTGAAGGCCATCATACTAGCATTCACACACAACCCTGATGCACTCACTGGCCAATAGCAGACACAATAACACATGGTTTTCTTAACTGACCCCCAGGACAGCCATTCCGATTTCGCTGCTTGAGAGCGGCCTCAAAAAGCAGACGCTCCAGAGAAAAAAAACGGAAACAAACGGCCCTAAACATCTAATAAAAAGAGAGAAACGTTCTAAATTCTGATGGCCAGGTGATATGAATGCACAGCTTGAGTACCGGTAGGCTGTGAATCTTTGAAGAGGCACCAGAATCACTAATAAGCCCAGAACCTACATGGCCTTCCACAAGCCTCGCCAAAGAACGGAGTCTGTTACATCCACAATAAGGATGGTCTCTCTTCCCATTCATTAAGTTTCACCCTGCAGCTATTCACCTGCAATTCAAACAGCCAGACTTTGCGGCATCTCTTTGCGGCATCTCGATAGCTCATCTCACGTCCCATGATTGTTCAGCGTTCTTTTGGTGGACTGGTCGGCGTGATGTGCCTACGTGCGCTTCGGCCACCGCTCCTTGCGGCTGCTCGTTACACCCGCTACCTGGTTGATCCTGCCAGTAGTCATATGCTTGTCTCAAAGACTAAGCCATGCACGTCTAAGTGTGAACACTTTGCACTGTAAAACTGCGAATGGCACGAATGGCGTGGATGCTCAGTGGTTAGAGCAGCGGCTGGAAATGCACATTGTGGTATAAGGTCGTGGGTTCAAAACTCACAGCCTTGCGCACGTCCGCCGTTTCGCGCTTTCATAGCACCCAGCCATTCGCACACCCCCCTTGGGACGACGCATGGTAAATTTATACAGACACTGTCTGCGCAACGCCCAAGGGGTTTGACCCATGGTTGTTGTATGTCGGGGTCTGAGCTGTGGGAGGTCTGCCTGATGTCGAGTGATCTCATGGGTTGGCCGGTGCGCATGGTTCGGGCCTTGGGATATGCGCCATGGTTTGGGCGGGGGTGAGGGAGGGTTTTTTGGGTAGAGTCTGTTAGGACCGTTGTACATGACAGTATGTGTTGGATGGTTGTACCTGATGGGAATATTCAGTTGGTTGGATTGTTGCAACCGTCGCACCCCCTGTAGAATCCTGACCGTTCATCCTGTCTTCCGTCCTCGATAGGACTAAGGCCAATGGAGTACCTCTAGCAGAGTCTGGGTACGCTCTGGATGTTTCCCGTGTACTACCATAGGTGTCCCTGGCCTGAGGACGGGAAAACAGGATCTGTTGATCAGGGTCCTGCACACAGTCTGAGTGGGCCTTGCCCCGAGGTCTGCCTATGAACACCAATGGGGCTAGCGTGTGTGGGAAAGGGGAGTTATAGTTGGAACGATGACTGGTACTTACGATTCCCTGGGGCGGGCTTCAAGGATTACTTATGAGACCCTGGGCCTGTGCTTAGAGCGACAGATAGCCCTCATTAGTCGCCAGGATGGGAGCTTGGACAGATGAGGGATAGGGAGAACGGGTACCATACATAGGGGGGAGTGGGAGGGAACATCGCATCTGGCGGAAGGGAAGGGTCCCCCATAAAGTCTGCCAGGTGGGAAGCAGCTTGTCTGTGGACTAGTCGACCCCGACTAGTTCGGGGTTACCTACGGTAAGAGTGCACCTAGGGGGGGCGGTCTAGTATTGGGCGTCTCGCTAGGAAAAATATGCATACATGCTAACCAGTAAGACGGTTGTATGTCCGTAGGGTCGGCTCGTGATGGTGCTATAATAGAAGATAGAAATGGTACTCTAGGGGTGGGTAGGTTCCCGATAGGCCGTCCGTGCAATCAAAATGGATGGCGATTGTAGGGTGTACTGCCAGGCCAGACATCCGACCTCTCCAACAACCCTGGGTTGGGTCCCCCTCGTAGATATGATCCCAGGTAGCTGGGGTCAGATCGCGTTGGGTACCCTTGAAAAAAAAAAAGAAAAAAAACAGGAAACTGTGAATGGCTCATTAAATCAGTTACCCTTGAAAAAAAAAAAGAAAAAAAAAAGGAAACTGTGAATGGCTCATTAAATCAGTTATCATTTATTTGACGGCGCCATTGAGCAGTGGTGCAGGTGGCCTCGGCCCTGCATCCGCTGCTTACCATATGCGAGGGTAGAGACTTGTGGGATGTGTGATGCATCCGCCGATGGCGTCGTGAGGTTGGGCCCGTCAGTGCTGTGCTACACATTGCCTCTCTCTTGACTGGATCCAGAATGCACCTAGTGTGAGAGTCCAAACTTGCTGATCATCATTTTATCGCACTCATCATCATCATAAAAAAAGAGCTACCAAGAGACACAGGGGAAACAGGGCCAGAATGCGCAAAAGTACACAAGCGCACATTCAGAAAGAGCGTAGAGACAGGAGGAGGATCAACTCAGAACTACAACTTTGGAGCAGCAGGAGACATTCTCTGCAACCTATCAGATAGACAGTCGGAATGAGAGCAGAGGGAGACTGAATAATGATACTGCACCCCCACAGGGTTGAGGGTTGTCAGAAGGAACCCTGTGTGCTACAGCTGGGAAAGGCTTCCTCCCTATACATGTCCCTTGGGTCACTTTTTATTTCTATTCAACAGCTCCAGCTTATCCTCAGGGAAACTTCGAAGGCAGGGAAACTTCGAAGGGAACCACCTACTAGACGGTTCGATTAGTCTTTCGCCCCTATATATCCCAAGTCCGACAAATGATTTGCACGTCAGTATGGCTGCGAGCCTCGACCAGAGTTTCCTCTGGCCTCGCCCTTTATTCCAATTGTTACATCCATCAGGATTTTTTGTTTTTAAAGACCTGAGCTATTTATCAAGAATTACATGTGTGTAGTACTGTGTACCATTTAGCCACAGGTGAGGTATACATGTCAGTCAGGCTAAATTAAAAATGCGAGATTGGGAGAGATCTTCACAATCTCCCGGCCTATGAGAGAGAAAGAGGGATTCCTTGTCACAATATCCAGGCTTGCAAGAGATTTAACCTCGATTTCCTGGCATACAAGAGGATTATACAAGATTCTCCATCATAACCCCCAGGTGTATGAATCTGCAAACCACTGGGCTAGGGGGGGAAAAAACACTATGCCAGACTGCATGGGTAGAGTGGCTGCGTCAACAATTTGAAGTACAGTGCAGATTTAAATAGCAGGGAGGGGTTCATCTACGAAGACGAGCCTGGGTTCACCCAGCATGACTGCCTGAAAGGTACACACATATAGCTTTTAGCAGACAGAGCCGGGCGGAATCAGATCAGACGAATACAATAATATTATGAGCTATCCCTGTTTTTCCTAGAAAAGATGAAAAAGAGGGAAAAAATGATCGGTTGAAGAAGTCACCTTCTGGAGCGCTCGCACTGTGGCATCAGCCACTGCCATTGTCCTCATCCGGTCGGCAATCTGCTGTGCCAAAGCCAGCCACAACATACGGCTTTGTGCTCGGCAATGGTCTGCTTCCTCGCTTGTTTTTATTCCGTTCAGAGATCGATGTCCAACAATGGACTGAACAGATTCGTTCTCCTCGTCAGTCAGGTCACTCTCATCATTTGCGCTCGACTCTGCTGCCACCTTGGGGGAGGCCATCTCACTGGACATTCCCCTCAGATGGTAGTCCCCCACAAGTCCATCTACATAACGTAACCCTGATGACAACAACATTTTGCTTGCGGCAAGACGTTGTTGCGTCCACTGTACAAGACCACCACCTCTGCTTTCCTCCCTAATTGTTCCCTGAACCAAGTCATCTGCCTTCAGGTACGGGTTCTCCCCAACTGCTACTCGCACCGTCTTCTTCTTCGCACCTGGAATCGACATCAGAACACAACCGTCACCTCCAAAGCCCAGCGCACCATCTTCCAAAATGCAACCTCCGGATGGCAATTCCACATCCACAGAAAGCAAGGGCGGAGTTGGTGACCCTGGCGCTGGTTGCCGAATAGCTCCTGACCGCCACTTGCCCCTGCTATTACGCCGGATGGGATGAAGCAAGCCAATGAGTGGGGTATGCGACCCATTCTCTTTCTGGTTGAGGCCTTTGGCACCATTTTGTGAGTGACACCCATCCGAAAGGGCACGAGATTCCAACGGCTCGGGCTCAGAATCATACGGAATATTCATCCCTGACAGGGCAAACTCCCCCACACCAAAACCTGAGGGAGTATCAATGTCTATGCCTTCGTCTGTAGAATCGTCCTGCGTAACTTGACTTCCCGAGGGATCGCTGAGCACCATGTCAATATCGTCCATTAAGTTCGGCACAGGGGCATACGAAGATGACACAGATGGCATCTCATCCATCAAATTAGGTATTTGTTCAGCAGGGCCAGAGGCAGGCGGCTGTGATGCACTCCGACCGGATTGCCCACCAGACACACTGATACTACACATGTCTGAGTTGAGGCTTGTGGCTGATGAAACAAGGCCAGCTCGGATGGACGAGGACGAGGAACACGATGATAGTGACCCCATTGACGTTCTCCGAGAAACCTTCATTGGCCTAGAGGAGAGGCTGGACGAAGAGTCAATGCGTCGATCCCCACTCCCACCACTCTCCATTGATCGAGCAAGAAGATGACCCTGCAAGCAAACCACCCTTGCACGAACCTGCAGCACCACCCAAGGACAACCATTAGCCAAATTCTTGAAAGTCTTTACTGGAAACAAGCGCGAACGACATGCTGTCACAGACTCACAGGTAAGAAACAAGCAGCCCCTTGGTATTCGTATCACAAGCAAGAGTACAAATGAAATGAAGTAGCACCACGCATGACCGATTCCATTATGTCTTAGGAACTGCATGGGGAGTAGGCCAAAGTTAATAGGGGTATTAGAAGGTTAAAAAACACAGTGTGTGAGAGAAATATGCTCATTAACAGTATGGCCCTGCCTCTACCGTGCATGGAATAGGCTATTGTCTTCCCCCGAAGAGAACGTATCGTCATTACAGCCGTATTTGGTCCACCTTTCAGTGTCCAATAGAGATATAACGACCATATGTTCGATTCGTGTGAAGAAGGTAGGCCATTGAAAGACAGGTGTCAGAATACCTAGCAAGCAGAAAACAGAGGAAACCAAGCAGGTGATCTGAGCAACAACGAAAAGACGGAGAAAAACGAGAATCAAGGGATTAAAACGGCCCGAAACAGAATTGGATAAGAGAGCAGATGCGGAGAAGCAAGGACTCCAATAGTGAGGAAGGCACTGATTGGACAGATGTGTGACTTTGTGACGCTTGGGACCTGGCATGGTTGGCTGGTTGGTTCGGGTGGGGGAATAGAAGGGAAGGAGAGGGAAGGGGGGAGGGGAGGGAAGGGCAGGGAAGGGGGAAGGGGGAAGGGGAAGGGAAAGAAAACAGAAAAGAAAAGAAAAAAAAAAAGTGGTCGGCGAGAAGTGTTTGGGGATGTGCTTGGATGATCAGGCAGCTGCCGTCGTTGGGAGAGAAAAAAAGTAGATAAAAGATCGAGGCAAGTAGAAATGTTGAAGAGGGGGACAGGAGGGAGGGCGAAAGAATTTGAATAATATCATCAAGATTCATCATGGATAACAAGAACGAAAAATTTACATCGGTCATTTTACAAATGGAACGCTAAATGTTAAATTCGCCACTCCGATTTTGCACAGAGGAGTGACATTCAGCCATCAAAAACACAGGCTGTGATAGTTCCGAATGACACCCGGGCATACATCTGTACATAGTCAGGATAAAGACTAGGTGGTGGGATGGGGCAGGGGGAAGAAATGCCGGTGGGGACAAAAGGGGGGCAGGAAAGTTGAAGGAAGGTCAACGAGGCCAGAGGAATGAGAGACGAGTACAGAAGCAAAACCAAAGCGGAAAAAGAAAAAAAACAAGAGTGCACTCTTCACTTATAACCCCCTCATGAATCTGTCCTTTCCCTTTCACAGATACTTCTTTATCCTTTGCATGCACGGTTCTAACAGCTTGCCTCCAATACCAGTACTCGCCACCAATTACCTGAGCCATCCATCTTGGTTTCACACCATGACCAAGCCTCCACTGCAGAGCTATCCATGGGGCCCAAGGCCCGTGCGGCGTGCACCCTCTTCCTTCACGCTCGACTTGCTGGCGTTCTTCGGACCAGACCCTGCAACTTGTTCTCTCAACCACCCCTTCTCACTCCCTTTTGCACGTTCACCCACCTCTGGTGCAATCCATTGTGCTCAGAAGGCTAAGGACAAAAGCACGCTTCAAGCCCCCGATGGCACACACCTCCCACCAGTCCCCGCTTGTTACCTTTCAGAGAGGTGAAATAGCAAATCCACTCGATTGTCGGTGCAGACCTGCAAGATGAGCTTCTCTGCCATCCATGACCACAAGCATGCCAAACTGCAAAAGAAGATGGCATCCACCCGAGAGGAGCCCGCATAACCAAGCACACAATTGATACGGCTTTCGGTCTGCATCGCCACCACAGCCGGTCCCCAGTCAGCAGCAGCAGCAGCCTGTTTTTCTTTCCCAGCACCATCCCTCAGACCTTACACAAGCTCTTTAACTTCCAGACGGGTGGGCACATGTGTTTCACAAGTCGAACACGGTTGGTTCTTCCCTCTGGGGACGATATTCGATCGGGACCAAGGATTGGGTAGGCCTCGCGTGGACGGCGCCGGCAGAAAGAACGAACAGATGGCAAACTTCCAAACTGGCAGAGCGCAAAAAACAAGACGCACCCACCTCCACACTTTTAACCACCACAATACACCCACCGCTCACACAATAAATCACACCTTGCTGTTTTAAAACGACGGCTGGGGTTGGACACAATTGTCCATACCCCCCCTGCCTTCCGCCATCTCCAACCTCGCGCGAGCAACATTCGAACCTGAAGAGACACCTTCCAGCCCATCATGCTGCCGATGGTCCATGCCGTCTGCCGCTGAATCAAATCTGTGTGTAAGGCTCCTCCCTCGCACAATACCTTCGTCATCTGACTCTCCGCCAATCCTCACCAAAGCCATCGCAACACCTTGTAAACCATTTACTCCGTCGCTTCCTCTCATGCTGTCGCTGTCGACAGACCCTACTCTCATCCCAAGTTCTACTTCTGCTCCATTATTATCATCCTTGCGCATGCCTGAATCTCCATACCCCCTGTAGAGACTTCCACTTCCACCCTTGCTGCCAACACCACTCGATCGGACACCGTCATCGCTCCCTATTCGTCCATAATTCCCAAGCATCAAAGTTGGGGCCTGACCTAGTGGTGCGCCTTGCACAATCATGGAGCTTCGACTCCCATTCCCATTCCTGCCGCCGTTGCTTGTGCCATTCATGCAAATAGTCGATATGTCATCACTGCCCCTGCCATTGCCATTACCACCTAAGAGCGAAGGCCCAACCATGCAGCCCAGGTTGCTCCCACCTCGCAACCCAACTTGAGGTTGTTCATGCGTGTGCTTCCCCTCATACGTGGTGATAACCATACTGGGATCTTGTGTCGACCTCTCCACATGCTTCCGCACCGGACAATCTGGCGTTGTGCACTTGTAATAACTCCTGAAACAGAGCGCATCGCACACCTCGTGTCAGTGTGCCGCAGGCTCTGCGAAGAAGCGCAGGCGTCGCTTATATTCTGCTTGCAGACTTCGACAAGCTTCTGCCCAAGGATTCAAAACAACTCCCTCTGAGGGAAAGAAGCTGAAGCCCCTCTCCCAGTTTCCACTCCGTGCTCTCCCAACGCTAACTATGTGCACTCAACACAACAGCAGGCACCCAGATCGCCCACCATCAACCGAATCACCGTTGCAAAGATGCACAAACACAATGCACATATTCCTTCCTGCAAAGCAAAAGCTGCTGCAATAGACTCTTTACGGAACTTAGCACACTTGGGCAATCATATATACACACCACAAGGATCGTACATTCGACCATGCCATGCGGAGAGACGTGGATCAATGTTTAGGCGATACAGGAGAGGGACACCACAATCCTGCATCGGCACTGTACAGCCCATCGTACGAGAAACAGCACTCACACGTTGCGGAAAAAAATAGGGGCGGGGAGGATGGCCTTGCCCTAACAGAAAAAGCAACAGTTCACTACGAGCCTTTCTCTATCACTGACAGCCACCAGCACTCAAACACACAAACTTCAGGAGGGAAACATAATATCTTGTCAAACAATACTCGACGCATTTCACGACGAGAGGGGTGAGCATGAAGATCCAGATCTGGAGCAGGGTTTGATGGTCCGAGGTGAACGTCAGACACCCAGGACTCCCGCAGGAAAACACCTTGTGTAAGCCAAACACCAATCACCAATAATGAGAACCGGTGGGTTGTCATAACTGTGCACACAACTCACAAAGGCATCCAGATACAGATGGAAATTCAATAACAATGCACAGCACTCGGTGCCTTTCAACAGTTCACCACATATAATCCTTCACCCACGTGAGTGATCTCACATTTGCTGGGTGTACAGTATCTACCAGAACATGCACTCATGTACGAACTTCCGAGACACCTCAGTCAACAGTCAAAGACAGAGCTCCCCTCGTTTGTGTGTGTCCTCTTCTCCCTCTCTGCCCGCGGTTTACTGAGCGGTTCTGTCCGACGATATGTATAGAAAACCAAGCATACATACAAAGACGTACACTTGCGATGCAGCTTCAGCAACACATCAGTCGCAAGTAAATTCCGAGGCACCTCAGTCAACAGTCAAAGACTGAGAACTCCCCTTGTTTGTTGTACCCTTCTTGCTCTCTGCCTACGGTTTACCGGGCAGTTCTGTCCGACGATATGTATAGAAACGCATACAAAAACGTTCACTCGTGATGTAGCTTCAACAACACGTCAATCGCAAGTAAAATACCGAGACACTGCTATATAAGATCGTGAGCCCTTTTGTTGTTCTCAGGCGATCACAGGCAAACATGGCTCTCGACTAGCGTGAAGAATCTTGACCTTTTCCCGCCCCCAGCCACATCACAGAGACAGAAATAGGCCTAGCCTCCGTACTCACACCCTGAAGATGTGTGAAGGGGCAGTAGGAAATCATACAAAGGACAAAAGTAGAGGCAGGTGGTTGAAACACACTGACAGCAAGCAAACGCAGACTGTGGATGGGCAGATGCCAAGCATTCCACTTGAACCACCGGTACCCTGCCTAGCTACCCTGCATGCACCCTCCAGTTAATCAGGGCCCATGGCAAGACTCAGCCTGATGAAGGTGGGTGGTCAGCCTAATGGAGGTGGGTGGTCCCAGGGAGGGGGGCAAAACTTTTTGGGTTTCCTAACTTTAGCAATTTCCTGTTCTCATCTCCTTGAATAAATAGAACAATCTGAAAATTTAGTGGATGCATGGCATGTGATGCTGTGTAAGGGGGAAAATCCAAAAAGCATACATTTTTTCTTCTTGTGTTTTGGCCCTCCAGCGGTGGGCAAAATCCAGCACTGGGAAAATGAGGCTTGCAGATAACGGTTAAAGCGCTCTACATTTACTCGAGCTATGTCAACTGTTCACGATCTTATGCTAATATTTGGACTTCCTATCTTGCCTAATGATTTATCTCCACCCACTTGTGAGTCGGATGTTGAAGCCCAAGGTCCCATGATGTGGCACAAGTGTTACCTCGCACCTATTATAAGAACTCACATCCCCATGTTTCGACAAAATTTGCCTACCATCTATGCAACAAGAATAGTCCAGAGACAGAGATAGAGACAACCACTAACCCAGGGTTCTAGTATTAGATTGGAATCTAGATCGTGTTGATTGTTCGAGAGACCTCACTCCGTATCCGAAGAGAACGGTTTTAGGCGGATCCCCTTAAGGGTCCACAGAGGACAATTCTAACTACGGGATCTGTGAATTATCCTTGGTACCACCGTGGAGTTATTTCCCCAGCTCCCACGATCTCGAATATCTTGGCCGTGAAAGGCCAAAAACTGGGGGCTAGGAGGAGGAAGGCCAGAGGGAAGAATCCATTCCCATCTCCTCAAGGATGCTCCTGATCACGGTCTCACAGTGATGGAAGTCCTAGCTATCAGGACCACCGTATGCTTTTCAGATAGAGACCTCCGAGTCCTGACCTCTTTGTTATACCTGCCGGTAGGAACAGCACTGCACAGGAGAAAAGCTCTTGCCAATGCTTCATTGATTATTTGTCACTCACTAAAGACACAGCGCACCAATTGCCCGAACTAGGTGGAAAGATGGATCAAAACAACCCAAACCTTTCAGCTAGTCTTCGACAGATTGCTTGCATCGGGTTTCAGGTTTTCGATTTCGTGCCCTTTCTTAGGGTTCTCGTCACACACTCAATCAGGGAGACGGCAAGCCCTTGAAGAAAGAGTGAGCCAAATCAAGTACAAAAGCTCTTGGCTATACTTTCTCGATCATTTGCCAACAAAGAAGTAGCCCGGTCATCTTTGCTAGAAGAAAGAGTGAGCCAAATCAAGTAGAAAAGCTATTGGCTATACTTTCTCGATCATTTGCCAACAAAGAAGTAGCCCGGTCATCGACTGAACTAGATGGAAAAATGGATCAAAACAACCCAAACCTCTCAGCTAGCCTTCGACTGATTTCTTGCATTGGGTTTCAAAACTTTCAAGTTTGGCTTTCCAATCCCTTTCTTAGGGCCTACTCACACTAGGGACTTTTATGGAAAAATCACTAAAATTTGATGGTTGGGCCAGCCGCACGAGGCACTGAAAGCAGCAAAAGTAGCAAACGGGGTATCAAATTTCACCGGCCTGGCGGGCTGCAGGGAAGTGCATTTTGCTACCACCTCACCCTCAGAGTTCTTTTCATACACTCGTCAAGCAGACGGCAAGCTCTCGAAGAAAGACGGATAGAGTATAAGCCACCCAGGTTTTCCCCTCCACCTCTGGTTCGCAATAAAGCAAGAGGCGGCTGTCCACCTGCCTTGGCAATACAACCCCCATCTGCAGATCTACAGATAAGGGCAACACCTCAACACGCTTCAGAAAGTCACGTGCTGCAGCTCTAATTCTATGAGAAAATGTATTTAATAATGATGTGAACAACCTCGTCACAGTTTTGCTATGGTTCTGTTCCCGTCAACAGCACATAGCGTTCGAGACGGAACGCTGATGGAGAGCTGTATGATGGGACGTACGTTTCAGAGGGTAGCAACTGACCTATGACGCCTACCCATTTTAGGTTTTGCTTTAACTGAAGCTATTGCTTGTGGGACAACAGCAACCCTACCGAGCTCCCTCCATATTCGAATGGTTGGTCGCGACAACAGAGACAGCCTCCTAATGTCTTACTAGAAAACCGGTTGCCATTTCACCCGCAAAAGAAACATTAAAAAAAAAACAAAAAAAAACAAAGACGTGGTAACCACACAACTCAGCCGCACATTACACTTGTGGCCCCTCATCGGGCGCCTCATCCCTGAGAGGCATTATGTGCACTCTCTCCCTCTCCATTACTTTCATGTCTCCTCCTCATCCATGCGCATAGCACGTGTATGTTCCCCTTCCTTATCTTTTTCAATCCCATGCACATAGCACAATGCATCTGCACACACACACCGGAGTGAAGTGCAAGGTTCGTGCTTGTCGAAAGCCAGTACGGTTTGATACCTACACAATAGTAAAGTCACACACCCAGTGCTGTTGGTTTTGTATAACAGGAGGAAGAAGGAAGACCCATCCTCTTCCCACATTTATCATCTATGCCATGCAAGCCATTGAAACCGCGATCATCCCTCAAGAACGTACCCTTGACCTAAATCAGGCTCCATCCAAAATTTGGGTTCCCGTATAACGGAATCAGCGTTTCAGATGTTCAATTCGCCGTCTTGCACGCGAACAATGGCAAATACCCCCTATCACAACATCCTCCCTATTGTTCACCTGGCACGTTCTCAACCTAAGCTCCTCTATGTCCCTAGCTCCTACACAAGGAATGACCGCTTCCCAAATGTGTCTTGCCAACATGGCGGAAGCCGCCCGCATCTCATATTCAGATGGATTGCTGGGCAATACTGCCGGCACACAACTCACAGGGAGAGTGACTCCATGCGTCAACATCAAACTGATTCAAGTAAGGATCCTGGTGACCACATAAGAACAACTAGCACCTTAGTTCTCCTAGCACATTCTGAACTTCAGCTCGTCCACGAGCCCAGGTCCTCCACAGAAAGTGCTTCCCCAATGTGACTGGCCCCTGCCGTAGGAAAAGTGGGTGAAATCACCCGTACCTGAGTATCCGCAAGGATCATCGGGCAATGCTGCTGAGGAAACACTTCACAGGGCAGCTGACCCTATGGATTGACATCAAACGAATTGATGTAAAGATCGCAGCGACTGCATCAGGGAAGCTCTCACAATGAATGCATCTACAATTCTTGTAGCCATTCACACCACTCAGTGCACACACCTACCGGTAGTGCCATGATCTGAGGGGGCAACTTGAAGGAAGGTCGAGGCACACGTCAAACTATTCAATGGAAAGATCAGGGTGACTCTATTAGGGTGGCTCCCACAATGAATACATCTACAATTATCCTAGCCATTCACACCACTCGTTGCACACACCTTATGCCATCATTTTTCTTCTTGGCAGTTCACACGGTTTTCCTCTATTTATTCTTTCGACTTTCCCTTTTCCCCATGCCTCTCAGGTGCAAAGTTCACCACACTCGTGTGGTCGATTTCCAAGTGCCCACGCTATCCGTCTCCCAAAGCAGCACGATCACACCACGGGGACGACAGAGTAAGGAGTATCAAAGGTGTATAAGACAAGGGTAAACGATTTTGGTGCTTTGGTTAAGGCATCCCAGCTCCATTGGGACCTAGTGAACCCCTATTGTATCACCTCTCGAGAGCCTATGCTACGATGAGAGACATTCTGACATAAAAGCTATGCACTCCCTGTGAAAAATGCTGGCATAAAACTCTCAAGAGTCTCAACCACCTTCAGTTTGTCTCTCTCGGCCCGCAACCACTATAGTAGGCTGCTCTTTCTTGACCACCAGTCCAATTTGACAGAGCTTATCCTCTTCTGGACAGACACCGAGGTGACCGTGTGCTGATGTGTGTCGAAAAGGAGTCTGACCTTGTTCATTGCTGTAATCATGTTCTTTCTTCTTCTTCTTCTTCTTCTTTTGCTGTAATCATGTTCTCTGGACAAGTGGCTGCTATGTTTGATCACACTCCAGCATTCTCGCAACGTCCCTGTTATACTTGACTATCCTGCAGCATTCTTTCGCTCTGCTTCCCTAGCCGCATGAAGCCTATAATCACTGGTGACCATCTTGCATCTGTTACCGCTTACGGTAGGGCATGCCCACTCACCACATAATTGTATCAAATGGAAAAGCGGCCGAATACAAACTGGCCTTCAGCTACATGTAGAGCAGCCTACTGACTATCCTGTCACAAGTGCACATCGACAATCTCTACACTAAAGCGTATTCCATAGGGAAATGTACTCAGTTTAAAGAGTACAACCTTTCCACGATGAATATCTCGAAAGGAGTACAAGACTCGTCTTAAATTTGGAAGCAGCAATCACCAATGCGCCTACGTCAGTTGGTACACCCATGAACTGTTGAAATACAGACCCAAGTTCGAATCGAGATGCAATAAAGAGGAAGCAACAATCAGCAGCAAAATTTCCAAAGCTCAATTGTTGCACTCCCACTGCTCAATAACCCACTGCCAGGGAAGCCAGTGAGTTTACCACGAACCCCCCCGTCTATAATATAAAATCCCCATTCAGATCGTCGAACAGAAGAACCTATGTCTGCCAAGAATGGAATGAATATTGTGAGGACGGGTGGTGCAGAGCACATACAGAGCCAACGATAGCAGATCATTTGAACGATTGCACACACTGGCCTCGCTCTTCCCTTTGACATTTTTCCATTCACAAACATGAATTCACCACAAGAACACACTTGTGACAGTTACACTACAGCAAAAAGAAAATCATCACACATTCACAGACATGACTTCCCTGCTGGAACGCTTCTAGCAGTTGTACTAAACCAAATAGTTAATCATCACACTAGGAGTGTGAAACTCTATTAACAGGAAAAGCACCGGCAGGCTGCGGCAGCTTATAAAACTATGAAGTGAGCATCCAGCATGTATCTCGTGCAACGCTTCACGAACAGAAGCTGATCAAGGCAAGCCAGCCAGCATCATTCACGTAGTTTATGAGCAAAGACAGACTTCACTCACAGGCATGCATTCATAGTACTTCATACTTGAGGAGCAACCAAAACAACAAAAAACAGCTGAAACAACTCGCACAGGGACACCATTGCCCCAAACAACATCGAGAACAACACCAGGACATGGATACATATCAATTGTGGAAAGGCCAATCAAATCCCTATGCACTTCATGTTCTCGAGTTGCAGAGAACAATCCGAACTTGGCCAATGTTTCTGGATTCACTCCGCCTTAAGGCCTTGCGTGCTATTGTCATTGCCAAAATATTTTCCGCAGCTGGTTGGTGCGAACAACAAGTAAGGGATATGTTTGGTGTGTATTTTTCCAACCATCCTGATTTACATTGTATATTAACAGATTACGTTTTTTTAAGGGTCGTCGATAGAGAGGGCAACCGCCTCTGCAGGTTGCGTAAAGAAAAGGCTCACTGCAAAGATCCGAAGGTGATCGGAGAGCAGCCTTCAAGACGCGGCTTCGGGCACTCGCATCCAGCTCGCCAGAGTCATATTAGAGGTATTCAATATGTTTTAACTTCCTAGTTCTAACCCCCTATGAAGCACAATGCCAACTAACGACTAACATCAACAAAAAGAGCAACACCAGAATGAAAAGATTTCGCCAAAAAAAAAAAAAGAAAGCAAGAAGTGGACTTAGCCTCCACATTACTATTTCGGACAATAATAATTCATTTCAACAGTTTTCAACACAAGAAACTTTGGTAACCTTACCTGGGATGGCTCTTTCCTTTGACATATTTCTGTCCATACTTGCGCCATCTCCACCCATCGTCCATTACTTCCCTCTCGCTGACAGTCTGGATCACAAACCTCGGCTCCCGAACAGCCCTCGGCACCCCTTCCTTCTTATCCTTTCTCCTGGGACAGCAAAAATATGTGATAATCAGAGGCTGCATCTAACACACTACATGCACTTACGAGCTCAGCCAAACAGAGGAGATGTAATTCAACAGACAGCTGCAAGGTCATAGACTAAGGAGGAGATGTTGAACAGAGCTGCAAGGTCATAGACTAAGGAGGAGATGTAATCCTACAGACAGCTGCAAGGTAATAAAACTACGTACAGCAACTCTATTCCAGATTTCATAACACTTTTATACACGATGGGATAAGAAAAAGACACACAAGCAGTTCTTTATAACCAAGTTTGTCAAGAAAGGGTGCATAGCAGTTGAAGCAATGAGCTGAATATCTTCAGTTCATCACTTCGGAAAAGTTGATAGGAAGGATGAACCAGTGCCTTCAAGAGTTGGCGCTGCATTTTCATATGCACACAGACCATTACCGCTGAAAATAGATAGAGCACAGAAAACAACCTGATTCATCTACAAGGGCTCTAACCTGCGGCTGTGCGACTAAGCGAAAATGAAAAGCAAGCCAACAAGAAAAGCAGAGCCCAATCAACGAGTAAACAGCCAGGCACTGACCCATATCAATGGGCAGGGACACGGTTTACTCGACGGTTTTGTGATTTTTAAGGGCCACAGGACTATTTCAAGGCCAATTGTACACGCTCCAAAAACGCCCAGACACAGGCAGAGCATTTCAAGAGAATTGCCCCACCAAAGCAGGCGGTTCTGACTCCTTTTAGCCCAAACTTCTGGCGGATCTGCGCTTGATGCCCTAAGCCATACTCTTCAGGAAGGATCCTGGCAACAGAGGATAAAACATACCTCTTCTTGCATCCATCTAGATCATCGCCACCCTCAACACCTCGCTTAGCACATGTGGTCATTCCAAGCTCCATCTCAGTGTCTTCCATATCATCCATGTCAGCACTTGAAAATGAGGACCGTGACAACGAAGAATGCGGGGGACTTGCCGACCCAGAATAGGGGGGATACAAAAGCCGGGCAGAAGCTTGTCCAGATCGACCTGGACCCCCCCCACCACAGACGGGGGAGGAATTGGCCACTGTTATGGCACTGGACAACCCGTCCTCGCAGTTGGAAGGGGAGGCGTCACCAGAGGAGTTCAATCTGTCCAGCCGTACGGCACCAACATTCGGCGGTGACTTGGCATCATCATCCAGTGAATGGCGATTGGTATCGTGGACACGCGTCCACATATCCTCTCCATCTGATTGCCCTTCACCTTCTATAACTGTGACCTTCCCACCATCTAGATTTAGTTCACGGCCGTCTCCAGAATTCCCCCATCCCCCATCTCTGTCAGAGCCCACAATAGCCAGTGTGAGATGGGATGACGGCCCTCCAGACGAATTCTTTCCTGAATCCTTTCCCAAGTTGCTGTTCCTCATCCTTGCAGCAGCTGCATTAGCTGATCGCCGCAACATTGCTGGTTGGGGATGGTTATGGTCATTTTTGTACTCCACTGACAAATCCAGCCCTGAATGTGTTCGTTCCACGCGCTTCTTTGCTGAGCAACTGGGGTGCGTGCACTTGTAGTAACTCCTTGGATGATTGCTCCCCTTCACATGCTTCTGTCCATATTTTCGCCAATTCCAGCAATCAGGAGCGCTTCTTTCTTGAAAACCGCCTGCTGATCGGCCACTTCCTTGAACTGGACGGGCGACAGCTCTCCTTTCCTCCTGTGCCTCTTGCCGTGCCTGATGCTTCTGTGGCAACTGCTCGTGCGACTGTGTCGCAGTCAAAGCAGGTGTTGTCTCTTGGTGGGGCTGCAGTGAATTTGTCTGCAAGAGGACAAGACCGATACCCCAGCCATGGAGCTCAATGTCAGGGACTGCCGCGATTCCCTCCACAAATGAAAACAAACACGCTAACAAAATGAATCACAAGCAGCATGTCGTTACCCCAGGTGCTTTCCAAATAGCTGCGAACAACAGCAAGGAAATAGTTCCACTTTCCAGAGAGAAAGTCCTATATCATCTCCAATAGTGTCATCTTGTCCTAGATCCCTAAACTTCGGTTCCGCTAAAGGACATACAACTTCCTAACGTTCCTTTAGCAGAATATCCGACAATACAACCAATTACTTTTTTCTCCCTTTTTTACATAAACTTTGGTAAGACAATCTTTTGTCCCTGCAATACATTTATTTGCTGCCAGAGGTTCGGAGCTTCTGAAAAAACAGGCAAACTTGCAGAGCCACCCACTTCTTTGCCATCAGGTTTATGCCAGTCCTGAACTCCAATGCCGTATCAATTTCATTCTCATATCCGAATGCCTACCGTCACATCCATATTCCAACGCCACTGTTATCCACAGCATACCAACCACATGGAAAGACATCAGCAATTCCCTCAAATATCCCAACAACAACCCCAAGCCTCATCCCATCCCTCCTCCCATGCATCCATCTCTTGATCACCCACCAGTGACAGCATACCAACCACCCACAAAGACTTATGATGGAAGTCCCTTCGATCACCCAAAACACAACCCCAACTCGCATCCCATCACTCCTCTCATCTCTCCATCTGCCCAAAACATGACAGCAATTCTCTCTCTCTCTCTCTCTCTCTCTCTCTCTCTCTCTCTCTCTCTCTCTCTCTCTCTCTCTCTC